ATCGTTTTCATATGCATGTAGAATTGTTTTCTTTGTAAAAAGTACCTCTTGTTTCCAATGTAGGAAGACAAGCTGGTACTTTGTTTTAAAAAGGAGACGCTCTTCTTTTGAGAATGAGCTTCAAGGCTATGTAGGTTTTCACAGGAAGAGCTGGTGTGTTAGCTTGGCTTTCTCTTTTACAAAAGCTAAAACAAAAACCTCTTCAGGAAAGAATCAGGATTAATTACTTGTTGGATTAATAATCCCATTAACTGCACATAAATCGAAAAATGCTTGCCATGTGAAAAGCTGGCTAACTTTTCAAAAGCAAATAAAACCGAAGCCTTCGTCACACCAGGGATTGGAAAGTGTCACATTATGTTAGCCTCCATTATGTGGTCTAATCTCAGTGGAAGCAGGGGTCTGTTTCTAGATGGGCCTGTTTGAAAACAAAATACTACAGTATAATTTACAAAATAACTCACAATCTCAATTCGCATCCATCCTTTTGTACCTCTGATGTCTCACCGTTGCCTACAGAGAACACCTGAAAAAAGAGAGTGAAGGAAAATGAGAGTTTTTTTTCTGTTTTCAAGTCACCTTTTAAGTCTTGCATTAAAAACAGGGAACGTTTGCTCTCAAAGGTTGCAGGCTGACGTGTTTGAAATGTAAAGGGGCTGTCACACCGTTTTCCGTCATACCGTGCACGTTAGTGTACCAAAGAGGCATCTTTCCTGGGTCCAAATGCAAAGCGCCGAGGCACGTTTAGTGGAACATCAAGGCAGCTGTCACATATGTTCCAAAAAACAGAAACATCCTTTATTGTCCTGCCGTGGAGAACATCAGGTGTTGAGTTAAAAGTACATTTGGAAACATGCAGACTTAAACTAAGTTAAAATATGTCAAAACGGGGAAATAAGAATGAGACTAGACAGTGAGGAGAAATTTAAGACAAACAATATTCAAGGCATTAAGAGTAATGCACTCTTTTATCACCTCGTGTGTTACGATTGTGTGAAATCACGTAGGGTCATGGTTGTGACCTTTAAAACCGCGATGTGTAGCTTATACAATCCTTTTTTTCCCCCATATTTATTAAAACTGTCACCATGTCATGACAGTAGATGACAGTTAATCTGTGAAAACATTGCATTGCTCCTCGGCAGAAACAACCAATCAGAGACAGGAATAGTGTCAGTCATTCTCATGGTGTTGCTGCTAAATGAGGTGAAGGTGGACAAACAAATAACTGCTCAGGGAAAACCATTGATCCGCCATCATCAATGGCTATGCCAATTAGCATTAACATTCAAAGCATGTTATGGTGAACCAGCTGAAGAGGGGCTGAAAAGGCACGTACATGAGAGTGATTGACACGCTAAGACCCTCCTCCTGGCTCTGATTGGTTGTTTCTGACCAATATGTGTATTTCTGCAGTTGGCATCGGGAGAAGGCAAACAGCTCAATTATTTTTTTAAACAGATTATACTCTCACAACATAATGATAATTTTAACAAACATGTGAAAAACATATTTTTAAAATAAATCACATAGTGCAGCTTTACGTAGAAATTGTATAAATTCCATATTCCTGTTTTAGTTCAACTTTAATGGCATTTTAAACTACAACACTCATTCGACAGATGGGTTTTTTGTTGTTGTTGTTGTTGTTTGTTTCAGAAACTCCAGCAGCCTGTAGTAGATTACATTATGCATGCTCCGGTACCAGGTGCGCAGAGAGGTGATGCTAGAAGCATTATTTACTGAATTCGTCTTCCTTTTCTTAAAAAAAAAAGGCAATGCAGGTATGCAGTAGAGTGATGAATTCACAGGTATATATTTCTCGCCTGTAGCATATGTTGTGTGTGTTTGTAAAGTTAGTCTTTGGTAAGCTACAACTGCTTCTACAACAATTAGTGGGCCATGTTGTGGACAGGTGGTGCGGACCAAATCCCTCTGTTTTCTGATTTGTAGCACACTCATGTGTATTCATTCAATGCCAAGAAGGCAAAGGATAATCTTAGATAAACAGCTGCCTAACAATTAGGCAATCAACAATGAGGTGATTTTGACAATTTCTGTCTTTTCTGTTGCAGCAGAGTTTCATCCAGAGGAGCAAACCTGAATGTCTAGACACAGAGGAAATTGAAAGGAGACTTTCATTTGAAACCCTGAAGGCTTCAGTAAAGATGTCAAGGTTCACTGAGTTGAAGTTTTGAGAAAGGACTGAAAGGGTATGGCTCTCTGCAAAGGGTTACCTTGCCAACGACTGTATTTCATAAAAATGAAGGATTCAACACAATTTCACTGGACAACTTTGCATCTAAGCCAACCGCTACGTTTCTGAAAGCGTTTGCTTAAAATGCCCAGTGACATAAATAGAGAGAAAGCAAACATAATGTACCAGCACAGTCACTGATTTATAGAACAGGATAATGCACAGTCACAGCTGCAACCAGGTTTCAGCTGTTGAATCTCTTTGGCATTTTACATTTTATGAATCCAGACTTATTTTTGCTCAGCCCTGCTCTAGACTTTGGACATATCTTGTCAGTGACCACATTCCTATATTTTTACTTCTAAGAAATTAGCTCCGTTTAAGAATTTGAAACAAATTCTCTTGATCTTGTTTCAAATTTATAATTATAAATTCATCACTGTATTGCATGCGTGCATTGCATTTTTCTTGAAAGAGAGAAAGATGAATTCGGAAAATAATATCCATCCATTTGCAACTAGACTACTCATAAGGCTACTCCAGGCGATGAGTTCAGCGTACTCCTCTACGGAAACCCGAGCTCAATCCAATAGAGACCCTTTGGGACGGCTGATCTTATTCCGAATACATTACGCCACAAAGAATTAAAGCCGACTTGAAGGCAGAAGGAGAGTCCAACCTGGCACTACCACGCTGCACCTAATAAAGAGGCTAGTGAGTGTGGTCTCCGAGCTAGTATAACAACGGTAGAGCATACGACAGCCGACGCAGCGACTTTCTCTTAGAGACAATAACGGGAGTCTGGGGTAGAGTTAAGCTGCCGCCATGCTGCTTGACTCACGAGATTTACCTTTTCGTTGACGTTGCTGCAGAGCTACTGCGGCTTAATGTTGAATTCTGGACAAAAATAACTGTAGCACCGAGTACGCCTATTACTAAGGCATTTCTAGAAAACATAGTAAGTTGTTGGAGAAAGCCACTAATCCACAGTTAGTGACGATAAATCCATCAAATGAACAATGTATAAATGTGACTTCAAGACCCATGAGGAAGAAGCTCCAACACCTTGAGAGTATTGACCTTTTTCTCTATGAGTTACGTTCTCCTTATGGCCCTGACGAGAAACTCATGATGTAGTGAACACTCTGTGTCCAGCGATGTAATGTGACGATGCACTGCTGACTCTTGACACCTATTAATGAAGTGGGTTTTAGTGTAGGGGGGCGTAGCTTTACAGGACTTGATCTATAGCAGCGGGAGGCGGGTGAAATGCCTGAATGCAGAGTATGAGATGTAAACTGAACCATGAGAGTAAAGAAGACATATCTGTTGTAATGGATGAGCCTAATGCACTGACTAAATGGGGGATTTATAGCTAAAGGGTGGTGAGTTTCAAAGCTAAGGTGGCTGGAAGCTGATTCCTAATATAATTCACTGTCTTGCTCATTGTTGTGTGTTTTCATGTATGGCAGAGATTTACGGGGCAGATTTCTTTTTGACAGCCCTCCCCCCAATCTCCCCCCCATGTTTCTGTAGGTCTGTGGAGAAGTCTGCACAGCATAACAAGGGTTGTTACATCAGTAATTCACGCTGATTTAGAAAGGCTGCTGAGCCTCCGGGTCCTAATGTGGTATATTCGTCATTGCTGGTTATTAGCGGTACCTGTGGTGAAGAATCTCTATCAGGTCAGTTGGTTAAAAGGAAAGAAAAGAGTCCTACTTTTACGTTTAGGTCAGCCTAGAATTTTTCTTTTTTTTTTTTGTCGGTTTGTTTATTGGGAAAATTGATGCAACATAATTGATCCATATTTAGTCTAGTTGCTGGTACAACATGTTTTGTTTGCTGTAAAATTGTCAGTGTGTCATTTCAGGCAGGAACTTTGCAGGTGTGGATGAGTGCAAATAAAGAAAACGGTTTGTTGATAAATGCTGCAGTTTCCAAGCTTCCAAGCTTACAGAGCAGTCATCCCACATGACTCCCACACTTAACTCCTTCAAACTAGCCAGCAGGAATTAGCAAACACATGGACGAGCTGTGCATCTGCTGAACTTGTTTTATGAGCTTCTTCTCAGTAAACGTTGGGAAAAGTGTTGTTAGAGGGTTAATAATGGACTGAAGTAGTAATGACCTCCTGAAGGTTGAGTTTCAGAAAGAGCAGGAGATTTTTTTTTTAAAGAAACAGAATTTTACATCCATTACCTTCATCCTCTTTTTCTCCTATTTGCCTTTTTTCACTCCTTTATTTGTTTATAATTCATTCCTCTTTCCTTTCTCTGTTGCTTCATATTTTCTGTAGGTTTCCTATGTTTTCTAAAAACCCATGGGCATTTTTGCTTTAAAGCTATAGATGAATTAGAAATGTTTCATCTGAGAATTAATGTTGGCACAGATGTAGGTATTTGGTAACTGCAATACCCCAGTTAGACTCACCAATAGATGAGTCTTGGTTCCAATATGATCATTGATATGTGAAGAATATGAACATAATATGTGTATCCTTGTCAATATTAACACTCACACAAAGGGTTCATGGGTTTTCTTCTTCTTCTTCAATATATAGAAATATTATTTCAGAAGATGACCAATAAAGAAAATGGTCATTTTATACGTAGATAACAAAATAAAAAGCGGAGGAATGTAGCTGGTAAGGAGCCAGAGTGTCGGACTCTCTCTCTCTCTCTCTCTCTCTCTCTCTCTCTCTCTCTCTCTCTCTCTCTCTCTCTCTCTCTCCCTCCCTCCCTCCTGCTCTTGTGTCGAGTCCTTCACAGCCGTTTTTCTCTCATCCGACCAAAGCCCTTCTTCTTCTCCGGTGTTTAAACTTTCCCTTTCAGAAAGCGCCCGTTCTAACTTATCCAGAATGACTTTATGAGCGCCAGTTTCTCCTCCCCGAACTTTCGGAAGGATAGTACGCCGTTATTTGGACCGGACAGAGCGACTCCCTCCCCACCATCCCTTTTTTTTTTCTTTTTTTCCTCCTTGCGCTCGCGACCGGGATGACAACCCGCGTCCTGCGGGTCCGTCCTGCTGTTTCTCCGGGACAAAGTAAACCGAGCCACGCGGGTCGTGGGGCTCATGAGACAACAGGAGGAAAACCCGAGTCTCCAATTCGACGAAATGACGTGGAGACAAGATATTTAGGATTCAGCACCAGGACGACACGCTAACGGGTGAGTAAACTCTTAAACTCACGTTATGGCTCGTGGATAAATGACGGCACCGCGCGCGCGCTGTGTTTTTGGCACTGGCTGGAGGTCAAAGCTCTTTTTATAAAAGTGGATGTATGTGGAAATATGTTTTTTTTAAATTATTTTTTACCCCTGCAATAAAGACAAATCTGTACTTGTGTTTGGATCAAACTTTGATCAAAGGTCGACTTAAAAAAAAAAAGAAAGAAAGAAAGCACCGCAGCATCCCTGCAGAGGAGTGTGAACAATGTGGCGACATTCACAGGTGGTTCAAATCGTCTGGTTCTCTCTGTTAAATAGAAAGAAAATCCCCCTGCTGTTTAATGACAGAGTGTTTCCGTCAGGTTCCGGAGGGGTTCGAGTGTTTAATATAGCAGGAAGTAGCTCACCGAAAGAAATGTAAAAAAAAAAAAAAAAAATCAAGTATGTTTTTTTTTCTGCGTGTAAGGAGATGTCTGAATTAACCAACAGAAAGAAAGTGAGCTGCTAATCTGTTGCGTCCCACTCACTCCGGGAGGGTGTGGCACTTTCTCCATCCTGGATACCCGGATATTTGCTGCGCATATATAAAAGCTGTGCGCGCGCGTCTACGCAATAAACGTGCACTAATCCCACTTGTCCCCTGGGAGGATCAGGGTCTCTCCAGAGGCCTGATTGGTGCTTATTTATTTGTCCATTTATTGATATGTTTTTTCCTTTCAAAGGCTTTTCTACCGCATAACCTCCAGGTCAGTGCGCGTGATTCTTCAGAGATGAAGCCGCAAGTGTCTTTTTATCTTCTTATGCAGCATTTGTTGGAGGCGTTTTGCTAATATTTCTGATCCAAGTAGAATTTTTTAGTGGCTGAATTTGTTGTGATTCCGGATATGATGGTATGTGAAAGTGACGTGCAGTGGCGGTCGCTGCATGGACGGGGTCCTGGGGACATTTCAGCCAAATAAAATAAAAATAAAAAACTCAGAAATTTTGAGATTCAGTTCAGAAATTTTCAAGATTTTTTTTTCTAGAAAATCTCTTGAGTTTCAAAAGTAGAACATTTTCACAACGTTATAACATTTCTTAGATTAACCTCAAAATTTGATTTTTTTTTTCTAGAAAATTTTTGACTTTTCAAATTCACAAATTTCCAAGTTTTTTTTCTAGAAAATTTCTGCCCTTTTTTGTTTCCATCTACAATGGCCCTGATTGTGTATCTAATTTATTCAAACAATTGAAGGGAAACAAACTGTTCCAGATTAAGACTTTGGTTTGTAGGTCTAATTTTCTATGCTAACCTTTCCAAATATAAGTGTGGCATAACATACCATTATAGGACATTAACCAGTTATTATCATTACACCTGTGAATGTTGGATATCGTGGGAACAAATGGACATTTTGTCCTCATACATGACGCAATAGAACCAGAGATAACAACTAAAACGACAGATAGCTTTGTTCTTTGTTGTGCTATTTGTTCAGTTCTACTCAATTTCTGACAAGAAAAATGTTACATGAGCACTACTATTTACAATAAGATGGAAACTGATGAGGTGGAAAGCTGAGCGTCAAAATCACTTGAGGTTATGATTGCGCCACATTGTGGCCGGATATAGCAACTACAGTTTTCTCAAAGTGTGTTGGCGTTGCTGTTTAAGCGTGAAACTTTTCCCCAGTCAACATTAAAACATACCAGCAGTTTTCTTGTGCGAGACAGACTACATTTTCAAAGAAGTTTGATGTTCCAGAGACATCCGCTGCATTTCTACTGACTGTATAGTTGCACAATTTGACATTTTGAAAATAAGTTTGCTTAATGGAAACAGAGCTAGTTTAATAAACAGTGCCTCTACTTGTTGTTACGCAGCCATAGACCAGGCGGTGTGCCAATGCTCGTCCCTATTTCTTGCCAAAAGAACAAACTCTCAGCACTCAGATGGCATCAGAATTGCCGAACAAAGCTGAAGTTCCATGGAGGGTTCGGGTTACCCTGCCCTAGACTAAACCACCTGTTCAGAACCTGATGTACTGCTAGCATCTTGTTGCCAGCACACTTTTTGTAATGAAAAAAAAAGAATCAAAATCTCAAAAGTTCATTGCAATATTATGCCTGATTGCGTTAAACAGCATACTACTTTAGAGACTGAAACGGTATTGCTCAAAATTAGTCCAATGACTATTCTTGTTACACTCTTCAATATGTAATTTGATTAATTGATCTTTAGCTAGCGTAGGATCAGTCGTATTTTCTCTCTGTGTACAAAGTTAGACACACCGTTTGCTGACTTGATGTGCAAATGAGCAGAAAAAGAAAACTTGTGAAAAACGCAAGTGGCAGAAATGTTGTTTTAGAGTTCCTGCGTCGCCCCCTGATCAGATGCCATCCTGGGTCGTCACCTCTCTCATCAACTGCCAGAACTGAAAACAACCATGGGAGAGAAACAGTGTTTTAAATAGTCAAATTTACCTTCTGTTGTGTCATGCGTAAAATAGTTTCACTGAAATTCAGATTTGGAGTTTGAAGCGACTCGTTTTCATTTACGGCAGGCAGATTCTTCAGCACACTTTCTGCCCTCAGTCCTCCGATTTGGCTCATCTCTCCTTCCCTATCTCCTCTCAGGGTGTCGGTTTAAATACATTTTCAATTTGGCGAGCTATATAGCCATGACACTGGAAAGAAATATGGGCGAAATCTCGCTGTGGCTTTGCATGCTCGTGCAGTCGGCGCCGTATCTGCACTGCCGCGTTTTCTCAGCTTTGTCTCCATTTGATTCATTCAGGTTGTTATCCTGCTCAGACGGCTGACGGTTTTTCATACCTGTTTGTCTTTCAAGGCTTTTGTCTCGAGTCTCTACTTCCATGTAATCGAGATATAAAAAAAAAATAATAAAAAAATCTGCTTTTCCAGCTTAAATATTCTTTAAAGATTTTCCTGCTCTGTTTATTTAGTTATTTTTATAGTGAAAGGACCAGAATGTTCTGCACATGCACACAGCGTGGAATGCAGGTGGATTTGTGATGGATGTTTGTGTCAGACAAATAAAATAAAGCCCATTATCCAAGAGGCAGGTTGGCCAACCTGCCAAAGAAAGAGAGACTCTCACTAATTATCAGCCGTGACCGCATAAGGATGCCTCTCCTCCTCTACAAGTTCAAAAACATGCAACATCCCTCAGAATTGCCTTCTTAAAATGTCACCTCGTATCTCATTAGATTCTAAGAAAAAAAAAATCCAAGTAAACATTCTGTGCACTTGAAAAAAGAAATAAATAAAATGCCAGGGAGAGAAAAGGGCAATAACCATGGGGATCAGAATGTCTGAAAATAGAAATCAAGGTGGAGCCCAGTAATTCAGGCAATGAAATGGGATGTGATTAGGTGGTGGGTTTGTTGGCTGCCTGGCTGATCGTGCGTGAGAGCGTCACAGAAAGCATCCGCAAACGCCGCACACTGCAGGTTTGCAGGAAGGGGATTGTGAGTAACGGTCTGTAAATGTGCATCCCTCTGTCCGGGCCGCCTGGAGCCAGGATGAAACGAACCCAAGAGGGTCTTCACATCCTTTAGCTTAGCAACAACTCATAAGGATAGGGATGCCTGCCGTGTGTAGGTGCTGCTCCTTACAGCTATTGAGTTGAAAAGGAGGAAGGCGGTTTGCCTGCAGTGGTAAAGGGATGATGAAGGGATGATGAATGAATGGTGACATTCATTTGTACCACTTTCAGTCAAAAACAAAAAAACAAGTGATTAAACTTGCATGTAGTTTTGGACTTTAAAATATGTCTCACATCCTTAAATAGACAATATGATGTGTACAAAACCTAGTAGCAGTTACAATAATAAACAGTTTGTATGGTAAAGATATGACTGATGAGCAGAAAAGACTAACTAAGCTTGACCAGCCCTGATGGGTCATATAGGTTGGCCAGAAACAAAAAATCTAATCAGAGAACTAATCACTGACTTGTATGGACTCGGGATGGGAGATATAAGCTTTGAATTTTATCACCATATTTTGTGATGACAATAAGAAAAAAAATCAATGAAATACTTCTTTTCTAGGTCACTGTGTAGCTGTAACTGCATTTGTAGCACCACAAACACAAATATTGTTCATCAGAAACATTTTCAGTGATGCAGAGAGACAGCTTTGCAACTTTAACAAATCATTGTTGTGCTTTACTGCAGGTTCCTTCTTTCCAAACCCACTAAGTATTTCATTTTATTTTTGGGAAATTTTTTTTCTTTTTTGTTTATCTTAGGTATGTTTGACACGTGTATTTCTAATCACCTGCATCTGGGACCTGGTTAAAGTAGTGCTGACGTAATTAGTAGATCAGAGTTTTGATTTCGAAGACGCAGCTCATGATCTTTAGAGGTTAGTTGATGTGTCACTGAAGAGCAAATAAACAAAACACCCTTTAAAGGGATGTAATCTTGGGGTATGAGTCGAGGGCAAATAATATGGGATGTGTGAATTATAGGAGCGGAGCAGGGCGTGGCGATATGTGCATTTATTGTGTAATGCTTTGCTTGTTACAGTCCGTTGAACTTCTGCTCCTTATTTTCTTTATTTCCTCAACAGGCTAAACTATCTACTCCTGTACTTCCTCTGCAATAAGCATATTAACCCAACTTTATGTCACCTATTCTCTTTTTGTTTTCTTTATATTGTATGTATTGTAGACATACTAACCCAACAACCAAGAAAATAATTTTAGCCACACCCGGGCTGAATTTCAGATTTGATTTTTATGGAGATCGGGCCATAAATCTAAAAATCCAAACTCTAAAATTCACCCATCCATTGTCTATGCTAGTTTATCCTTGCAGGCTCTTAGAATGGCTTCTACAGCTGCTATATATGTATATATAGCTTAAGTAAATGTATTTTTTATGCGTGTAGCAGAAATGGCAATAAAAATGCAACCAAAATAGTGGCTCGAATACAGGCTTTACCATGATTTTTCTCTCTTAACTCATTACTTGTGAGTAAAATGACTCACT